TGCTCCTCAATTATACACTATGTTTAAATATATATGCAGATATAGTTAAACAGTGCAAATAATTAAATCTAAACTTATATACAGCTAAATAAAAATGCAAATAAAGAAAAGGGGAGGGTTATGTGGAATAAGCAAAGACAGCTATTAACAAAAAAGGATATTGGAGACCAGCAGATGGCATAATGATTATGTTGCTGGACTCCCATATAGTTGACCGCAGTTCAAGTTCCAGACCCGGTGGCTTGAAACACACCGGGCATGTGTGTGCATGACCAAAATCTTAAGAGGAGAATAGAGAAGGGTTGATGAAGTGGTCATCCCCCCAGGGGTAATTTCTCCCTCTCTGTCTCTCTTTTTCTCTCTCCATCTCTCTGGCAAGTGCATGCACCCCGAAGCAAAAATCTCTCTGAACAAACAAAAAATGACAAATGTGCCTGACCTGGTGCTGTTCTCCAAGAAGAATTTGGACCACGTATGGCAGGTGGTAGGAGACAAGTACAGTTTGTTGTGATATTTTAGGACTACTAGACTAACTAATATAATCAAGACATACTGGAAAAGTTCAGCAATTTAATTAACATTTGCTCAGTATCATGCTAAGCAAACAGTAAGCAAAAATAAGACAAGGTCTTTTACAAGTTCGGTAAGGGGAGGCACAGAAAGGGAGCAAAAGAGAATCTGATATACACTCGATTACAATAAATATAACAAGTGACATCAGCATTCTATATCAAGGACTCTTTTCTGCAAATTGGAAGACAGTTCCAAGGAGGTAACAGTTTGAGACAGTGTAGAAGGAGACCAACCTAAAGTCTATTACAGTGATCTCGGATGGAAGCTATGGGCCAGGGGATGGCAGTGAAACTGAGGTAGGAGTTTGGTTTGGCTTGGTTTAACTTGTTAAAGGCACAAGCAGTTACCAGAAAGAGAGGGAGAATGCATGCCCCAATGGGGCATGGTCACTCTGCAATTCCTTCTCTTCCATTTCCCCATCCTGTTGGGATTTGGGGCACACATGCACAGGTGTTTTCCAAGCTGCTGGGGCCAGGATTTGAACCATGTGGTTGACTATGTAGGATTCAACTCTCCTAACTACTAAGCCACAAGACTGGTCCTAAGGTAGGACATTTTGAAGACTATATCAAGTGAATCTTCACTAATCATCATCATCATCATCATCATCATCATCATCATCATCATCATCATCATCATCTGGGACCAGCAGATGGCTTAATGGTTACATCACCAGACTCTCATGTAGTCAACCACAATTCAAGTTCCAGACCTGGAGGCTTAAAACTCACCTGGACACGTGGGACCAGCAGTTAGCATAATGGCTATGTCGCTGGACTCCCATGTAGTCGACCATGGTTCGAGTCCTGGACCCGGTGGCTTAAACTCATGCTCTGTGTGTGTGTGTGTGTGTGTGTGTGTGTGTGTGTGTGCCCAAGATCCCAAGAGGAGAATGGAGGAGAAGGGATTTTGGCATGGTCATCCCCCCTGGGGGGGAGGTGATTTCTCGCTTTCCATCTCTCTGTCTCTGTCTGTCTTTCTGGCGAGCGCACATGACCTATAGCAAAAACTTCTAAAAAAACAAAAAATCACCTGGGCACGTGAGCGTGTGCGCGTGCCCAAAATCCCGAGAGGAGAGTGGAGGTGAAGGGATTGCAGTGAAGGGATTGCAGCGTGGCCCACCCCCCCCTCAGGGAGGTGATGTCTCACTTTTTGTCTCTGTCTCTCCAGTGAGCACATGAGTTCTACAGCAAAAATCTCTCTCTAAAAAAAAAAAAAAAAAAATCCCCAAATATTTTCTCCCATACCTATTTTACTAATTCTATGACACCCAAATGCTTTCTGAATTGTTCAGTTATATTTTAAGGTCATGGAAAGACACAAACACAAAATAATTTTTCAGTAACCACAGTCTATAAATTAAACGTGGCTGAAAGTTTAACATATGACTATTTCCTCCAGCCGGGCCTTAGCAAATCACATCTTTCTTCATTTAGGACTCTGAGTCAGGTGGCTCCTAGTTCATGTCACAAGTGTTGGCCCTCTCCGTGGTAGCTACTGCATGGGAAAGTGTATGTTGTGGGTCACCAAGTATGGGGCGACAGTCAGTGTGGGACAAGAAGATTTCCAACTGCAGCCATACAAGAGGAGTTTATCAGCTCCTGTTTTCATAAAACACCACCAAGAAGGAAAACCTTTTCCATCTTGGTCATTCCAATTATATTTTTTTCTCAAGGATAAACTGGATTTACTTATTAAACCCAATCTATACCTCTGTAATGCTCTTAAAACAGAAATGGAACATGTTGAAGAAATTTTAGATGAGGTTAAGCAAAAAAATACAGGTACAAAAACAGTTTTAAAGCTGTTGAAGGATTCATCTGAAGTGGAGAAGATCATTTTATTCTTAAAAAGACAAGCAAATAGACAAATAGTGGGATTAAAATTTTTTTTTTTTATATATATATATATATAGGGCTATGAAAAGTCTGTGGGAAAATGGAACAATGTATGAATTTATTTTTATACAAATACTTCTTAAATCCATGCATGGTTTCTTCCACACTATGTATTTTTCACAACTTTTTGAAGACCCATATATGCATGTTGGTGTGTGTGTGTGTATACACTTTTTTCTGTCTTACACACAATTACCTAAATATCTGCATTACAGCTGTTTGGTTTACTTCTAGGAAGAGTCATTTCTGTCCCTTTAAAAACCACAACAGAAAATGGAAGTCACTAGTGAGATGGGACTGGCTACACGCTGCTCCAATGAAGTCCTGGGAATCTTGCTGAGAGAGGATATTTGGGGCTGGACTAAAAACATCTGTTGGGAAATGGAAGGGGAAAAAAAAAACAAAGTTAAGCAAGCAAGTTCTTCAAAAAGAAGGTAAACCTGAGTAGATCTGCTTTCAATTTAAAAGTAAAAAATAGCAGAAAAAGACTTTAAGCACAAAAGTATAATTGAATTGAAACAATACTATTGGATGTAAGATATTCAGCAGTGCCAATTCCTGAGAATGTTTTAGAAATGTCTTTTTTAAAAAAATACAGCTTCAGATCAGGATTACATGAAAGTTTACTTGCCCTATTTTTAATAAGTTATTTTAAAATTCCTATTTCTTTTTTAAATTTTTTATTTTTTAATATCACATTTAATCACATATATCTTTACAGTGTATAACATTTCTTTTTTAGCAAAGTTACCATGCATATCAGTTAAGACAAAGACATTACTACACACATCATGATCAGTAAATAGCTTTTTTGGTCAACTAAGCATACTTTTTTCCCTTTCTTTTCCTTCCTCTGTTCCCGTTTCTTAACTTTAAATGCCGAGACATCATCAAGATCCATGATTTGGTATCAAATATAGGCGTCCATTTACGTTTATTTTCTATATTCAAAAACCGCTCTCTTGACATCCGCATGGGGGATTGTTGACTGAAGTTGCTCTGAGTATTTCAACATATTTTAGTTAAGTACTTTCGGGATAAAATGTTGATCTAAGGGGAGAACAATGACTTTTCTGTGACAATGGTTGTCTGCTATGCACTTTCCTCTCACATAAGACATCTATAAGTTAATGCTTAGTGCATTTTCCCATGGACCGTTATGCCATCCCTGACCCTGCACCCCGCCCCCGTGTCCCCATCCCGCCTCGTCACACTCGTTCCCATACATGTGCAAGTCTGGGTCTGGTGGTTCTTGGCTGCATTTCCCTTTGTGGTGGGAGTCATACTTGAGTTTAAAGATGGTCAAGGAAGAAACCCCACGCGGAAAGTAGCCACTCCGGTTTACTGTGCTCTGAGTGTGTCGTCGGTGCGAAATGCACGGCGTTGCAGGCGGCCACACCTGGAGGGCAGGCAGAGGGAAATGTGGGGAGCAATGAGACGACATCTCGGGGAAGTGGCTGCTGTCTGCCCTGGACACCTCGAGCCCCCGGTTCAAGCAGCTACCTCCCGCCCTTTGCCGCCATCGCCTCCATCGGAGCCGCTGCGAGAGACCAAGGCAGGGCAGCAGC